GTTGGTCCAAGAAGTGGAAAAAAAAATATTGTTTTTATTGTTCCTTAAGGGGTAACTCGTGAAAGTAGAGCCCTTTGGGCGAAAATTTCGTCCGTTTGGCTCTATCTCTCACCGTTTAGGCGCTAGAGGGAGTTTTTCTGACAAAAGTGGCCCAAAAACAATATATTCAGCTTAGAAAATATTTGATGGTTTCCGAAGGGGTAACTTGGGAAAGTAGAACCCTATGGGCTAAAATTTCGTCCGTTTGGCTCTTTCTCTCACCGTTTAGGCGCTAGAGGGAGTTTTTCTGACAAAAGTGACCCCGAAACAATATGTTAAGTTTAGAAAATGTTTGATGGTTTCCTAGGGGGTAACTTCTGAAAATAGAGACCTGTGGATTAAAATTTCGTCCGTTTGGCTCTATCTCTCACTGTTTAGGCGATAGAGGGAGTTTTTCTCACCAAAATGGCCAAAACAAAAATATTTTTATTTTTTCAGAAGTACACTTCTGTCTGAAAAGTATGCGGCCGGTTCAAAATTTTCTTCTAAGCAGAAGAGTGGGCTTGTTTTATGGTGGCACATCATTAATAAAACGTGTACCCTTTAATGCTAAAAAAACCACCAAAAAAAACACATTTAGTTTTTTGTTGTTTGAACACGTTCGGTGTCATTCAGAGTATGCCTGGAAGTATATTTAACTTCTAGGTCTAGTCTTATGTACATTTTCATAGGTGTGTTATTGGATTCATAAGCTAACATCAATAACTTAAAATTTCGGCATAACTTGCATGTATTCTACAAACTGCGGCACACACAGCCAAAGATGTTCAGCATATATGAAAAGAATACTTCGTTTGTTGACAGAAAAGGTACCTGGCAAAAAGATGGTTCGAAGCGAGCCGTCACTCAAACGGGCCGAAGGGCCGTTTTCGGATAGAAGATGTATTACACCATAAAAAGTCAGAAGGGACGGGCCGAAGGCCCGTACCAAACGCCGCCGGCAGGCCAAGCTGGGCCCGCTCCCTGCCGAACCGAGTTGCCGGTGGAGCGAAGCGGAGCTGGCAACTTGGTTTGGCGGAAGAGCGGGCCCAGCTTGTTTTTTTTTCGCTTCGTCTATCAGCTTTGTTTGACCTTCGAGTTTCGTTTGTAAGGCTTGCGCTGAGATTTATTTGCGTTTTCAGGAAGGGAG